TGAACGCGTTGTATTAGGTAAATAATACGTCCCGTCGAATAAATTTATTTTTCCTTATTTTATCCTTACAAAAAGAAAAGAATCTTCGATGAACGTGGACCCATCATGCCAAACAAATCATGCATAATCATATTCATCGGCTGGAAATAAGAAATGGATTTTAAAACTTTTACAAACATCACCGACGAAATGAAATCTAAGAAAATTTGTTTTTATCTGTTGTGTAGATATATTATACAATATACTTTACTTTAGATATTTTATATAGGTATATTCTCTCGTACATTTCCCCAACTTCCATAAAATCCGCATACCACTTATAAATCAACGATAATGAGCTAAATATAGGTTGATGTGCTTGATACACGACAAATAAATGAGCCACGTGACGACAGAATACGCATTGATACTGCACTCTGTAATTACTTTTTCCGAGAAATGTCAATGCATTTGTACTGCATCGGTATCACTTCAACGAATAAATCAGCGGCGTTATGCCCTTCTTAAACGTCTTTATCGAATCGCAGAAACATGTGAAAATTATTAGTATTTAACGTACAGCCATACGTTATTAGCTTGTGTATGGGTGTGTCAGCCATCGAGGAAATTATTTACTCGATGCTTTTTGCAAAGTCTCTTATTACGCGCAGTTTCATCATCGAACGATTTAAGATTGAAGAATTAAATTAGTTAAATGAAAATTGAGGATCGTGCGTGATTGATCGGTCGTATGTGCAACGCATGTTTACGCGCATCTCGCACCGATATCAATGAGCCTGAACTTACAACGCGACGCTGAACGTAAATGTTGGTTCATGCGAATGCTCGTTCGCGTGTATGCACTTACGTTTTACCAGTATAACTGCGTCGGGTCCTTGACTCTGCCGCGCCAAGTAAAACCAACTTTTACGTAAGCACTTTCTATTTGCGAAGGTATGAAAGTGATCAGTGAAAAATATTGTCCCGGCCGGAGAACGCGATTGCTTAGAAATGTCGCTCGACTTTCGGAGTAAAGGACGCTCTTCCGCGATATATCGACCACGGGATTTTCATCGAATACATATATTACGTATCACGACACTTGACGCATATATTTTTTTCAACTTTTTTTTTTTCTCTCTCCTTTCTTTCGTGTAATGAAAGTATCAACGAACGCGAATAGTATCGTGCAATGAATAGTTCACTCGTACTTGAAAGATCTTCTCAAATCTACTTGTACGAGTTTCGCGTTCACTTGTTACATGAATGATGAAAAGTAATACGTAGGATGACTTGATCGACGCTGAAGAGGACGAAGTTTCAAATATCTTTTATTCTGCAGGTGCGAAGAGGCTACAGAAGTGGAGACGCATCATCAGCAAACGGCAGCAACAACGATGGGCGTCGCCGAGGATGAGACGCCGTCCTCTTTGACTTCTCATCCTAACCCCAACGTTAACAACTCCAACCAAGAAGGTACGTACGTGCCTGAATTCTGACTTGTTTCTCTTGTTGAAATAAAGGAGAGACTTGCACGCGTATACCGAAATGTATGCGCATAAATGCCAGAAGATAAGGAGCAGAGCGTTGCGATTAATCCTGCTATATATACATATTTTTATAGTTCAATTTTACTTTCGTTTTAAAAAGAATTTGTAATGTAAAATCGAGCCGAGAGACCAAGCTTTTGTTCAAACTTTTCAACGTTAAGGGAATACAAGTTGAATCGAAAATGGCAAAAAAAAAAAAA